AGTATCATTCTCATTTCGAAATCTTTCAAGTTTCTATTCTTTCTATTTCAGTTTCAGGTGCTATACTAGCCCAGGCATCTTGAAAATCACCACATTTTTCTACAACTTCTGCAATCGAATCAATATCTATATCAGTTTCAAATAGTTTACGATTCTGTTCAACAATTTCTTTAACAGACACAATTTGTTCAGAGATTTTTACATGTCCTGATTTATAAAACTCTTCATGTGTTTCAAATTGAGGTGGTTTTAACTGTGTGTCCAAACGGTAAGGTAAAAACAATTGAAGACTACTAAGGTAATAATTTTCAGGATCTTTTGTTACAGAAAATCTGGCATAACGAACTACGGCAGGTGGAGATCTTGTACGTTTTATAATGAAACCTAAATCATTTTGTAATTCAAAAGCAGGATTTTTCTCTGAACTGATATTAGGATTTTCAGATTTAGACATCACTCTATACTCTGAACAGAAAGTAGCAATACACATATCATCAAATGGTTTACCTTTAGGTCTAGCTAAATAACGATCAATTGTTGAAGTCATAAACAAATTATAATCTGACAATGTACCATCTTTAGCTCTACTTTGTAAAACTTTCAGTGGGAGAGTTACTCTAATATTATTCTTACCAGTAGGTATAAACTGAACTTTTCTAGAACATTGTTTTAAAGGTAAACCTAAAACTCTTACAGCACTTTCTGGACCAGAAACTTCTCTAGAATGTAAATAAGTAGTTGATATTTTACGCATACAAGCTTTAGCATCCAAATTATTTTGTTTAGCTTCTTTAAATGTTTCACGTAATAACAAACCCATTTCTCTTTCAGCCTTAGTAATATATGAAACAATATAAATAATACATGCATAAGCATTGGTTACATACTGTATGTCTAAGTTTGCATTCCAGGCTCTCAACATATGAGGATTATACTGATTGATCCAGCTTGCATTTACACCTCTTTTTAATACTATATATGTCTTTTTAGTTAGTTTCTCACACGCTAGTTCAAACATTTCTTGACTAATAGACAATTCATCATATAAACATGACAATGACTGATAGTTTTTGTCTTCAGACGACAATTCTTTCCAAATAGATTCTAGAATAGATCGAGCTTGATCTGTAGTTAAAGTATTTTTATTGTCAATATTTATGTCATTATTTTCAGTATTTTCATCTTGCTCAGTAGAATTCTCAGTTTCTAATGGTCGACAAATAAATGTTTTATCAGAAGGAGGTTTAGGAAAATTAAATCTACAAACTTTTTTATTCTTCCTACAAGATTTAGAATGTTTAGAACTGTGTTTCTGA